AATTTTTTTTCAATGCAAGGTATTTTTCTTTCTAACGAATAATGGAACTTGTTATAAAATTTGTTAAAAGGTGAAATGCATGGATTATTCTTAACAAACTATGTGATTTTTTTGTTAAAAGACACAATTGATGAAAGAATTATTGATAATGGTGGTGATGATGATATTAGATCATCGGCCATCCAGAAATCATCAAGTGCTACAATTTCAACCCCAAAGTCAAATCCAATATATTCAGCAGTATATTATGGAGTGCCAGTTTATGTGAGTTTCTTGTCAAAGATGTTGCTGTTATGCGTAGACGCCCGGATTCTTATTTGAATGCAACACAAATTCTAAAGGTGGCAGGCCTGGATAAAGGTAAGTGCTAAAAAATCATTGAAAGAGAAATATTAACAGGAGAACATGAAAAAGTACAAGGAGGTTATGGAAAATATCAAGGAACTTGGTATGTTAACATAATAACCATAATAAATTATAAAATAAATCTTTTTTCCTTTTGCACATATATGATCAATTTCACCATCACTAATTTTTTATTATTTTAGGATTCCTTTTGAAAAAGGCAAAGAACTTGCTACAAAATATGGTGCCCTTGAGAGTTTATGTTCTATCCTTGGATACATGTCACCAGAATATGATACTCCTTATTTGTCATCTCCATACACTCCAACTAAAGAACAAGCTATGGCAGCTTTACATATGTAAGCTAAATATAATCAATCTAATGAACATTCCAATAATTATAGTAACAAAATTAATATTCTTGACACAATGATGATGATAATGATGCTATATCAACAACAATTATTTCTAATATAACACCAGCATCAACACCATCAAATCAACAGAATAATATTGCACCATTATCACAAGTTTTATCACCTGAATCTACCACTACCACCATCACTAATAATTAGCTTTATTGGATGATATAATATCATCCGCTTCCACAACACCACCACCATTAACACACATAGAATCATTTCAAAACAAAAAAATTGACATGCCATTAATATTAATTACACAACCAACAATTGTAACATCATCATTAACATCAATATCAACAAACAATTTACATCAAGTAGTAATGGATTCATCAGAAATGGCTGTTGATGTTGAAATGACTATTGTTAGTAGCGGCAATGAAAATGAAATGTCTGAAAAAGAATTAAAAATACTTCAAGCTCAATTATTAGCATATCAATTTGACAAGGATTTACTTCAATGTGAAATTGAGAAATTACAAGAGAAGTCATTAAATGCAGAGTTGCAATATAAACAAATTATTTCTACTTGTTGTAAAATTAATCTTGATAAAGTGGATGATTTTGTGAAAATTATACTGGGAGAAGTTGACAATGATCTTGAAGATGAGTTTAGTTTGGGAAGAATAGGAGAAATATTAGGTAGACTGGACAAAGAAGCTTTGCAATTATAGTGTGAGGGAGCAAGTCCTTTTTTTCATATTTTTAATTTATAGTAGATATTCAAATAGATATATTTACCTATTATTAAATAATAATAAATTTCATTATATTTTTGGTGATTGTATTGCTTTGATATAAAGCAAATAATTTTCTTTTAATAATAATCAAATAACTGATATATGTTGTCATTATTATTATGCATTGGGAGTATTGGATGTGTTAAAATTCCTACATTTTACACATAATTTTAATTTAATTTAACTGTTCTGAACAAAAGGAAAATTCATTTCACAAAAAAAGTAATTGTTATTTTCATAGAAATATTTAATATATGCAATTTATTTAGATTTATACAAATGAAAATGAAAATGAAATCTTGTACATGTATATATATATATGTGTATTAAAAAAAGTTATAATCTATAAAAGGAAAATAAATAACTGCAAAAATTTACATTGATTTTGAAAATATGCCGAAAAAAAAAAAATAACATGAAATGCAAAATGTAAGCATATAAATAAGATGAATAAATATGTGTATGTGTATGTGTATGTGTATATGCATATGTATATGTATATGTATATTTGTGGATGCAAGTATATATTATGCAATAATTAAAAATATATGTCTACTTGTCTAACTAATCATTTGCAATGTTTAATGATGATTATTAATTTTATAATGATGATGATGATGATGATGATGATGATGATGATGATGATGATGATGATGATTGTGATTATGATGATTATGATTATGACTATGACTATGATTATGATTGTTATGATTATGATTATGGTTATGGTTATGGTTATGATTATGATTATGGTGGCTAAGATGATAATTATAATTATGATGATGGTGGTGATGATGGTGATGATGATGATGATGATGATGATGATGATGATGATGATGATGATGAATATTAGATTTTTTAGTAAATTCATAAATTTTGTCATAAAAACCATCATCAAGATCAATAATATTAGGTGATGATGGTGTAAACATTAACAATGTATTACTATTATATGATCTACCAGGTAAAGTATGTTTCATTTTTTCACTTTTATCACTATTATTATCATTACAAAAATAATACTTTGTCATGTAGGAAGTATGTGGAGTTGACATTTGACATAATCTTTCTTGGATATCTTCTGGTAAGATCAGTAGACCAGCAGCCAAATTTACACAATATTGTTGACCTTTAATTGATGATGATGATGATGATGATGATGGAATGACGATTGTTGTCAATGGAATTGTTTTATCAAGAGTGTTAGTGGCAGAAATAATATTCAATGACATTTTTAATATTGATATTTCTGACTTTGAACCCAATGATGGTGATAAACTGTTAATGGTATTTAGTGCATGGATTAATTTTGTATTATTACCTTTAGAAATGTTAATTTTAATCTTTGAAGACTTTGGAGAAGAACTGATTTGTGAATTATTGTGATTAATTTTCTTCTTCTTGTTGTTATTTATTTCATCCCAATAGATACGATTTTTTGCCAGAGCATTAAGAAAGATTGTAGCTTGATTTAGGAATAAAGCAAATGCTTTAAAATAAGGTTTGACAACAAAATCGCTAAAACCAAGACTTATTTGTGACTGATAAGCTTGTTCTCTGTTCATATTTGGAGATATAGGCAGATTTTTTTGATTTTCCAAGTCACCTTGTTTGAAAAATTCTTCAACAATACAATCGGACCAACGTTTGGATATATCCCATGGACGTACAGCATTGCTCAAATCAGCAGCATGGAGTAAAACTTTTAATAAAATATCACGTTGATATTTATTCAATAATTTTGATACTGCCGGAGTTGTTGAAAATAATTTTGAAGGTGGATTTTTAGATGTTGAAAAATATTCAGGTGAGGAAACAATGGAGAAATTTGATGAGTAATCATCATCATTATTATTGTCTAATTCTTCATTAAAATATTTATCAGGTGAACATAGAGATAATGATGGAAAAGAACAATAAATGTTTGTAGAAGATGATGAATTAATAAGATCATGCAACGATTCCAATAGTTCATAATGATTCATCATATCAGTTGCTAGAATTATATTCCCTATTAAAGTTTTCAAAGTTACGTCAGTTTGTTCTGGATCCATTCCTCGGAAATCATCGTTGTGTAAATGACGAAACAATTCATGTTTTGACAATAACTCCATCGTCAATGTGCAAGAATGATTTTCTAATACGGATTGATTATTGTATTTAATCGCTAGAGATGTCCTTGCATTAACCTGGTAGGCATTATTTAGACCGGGATGTCCTATATCGTGACACAATCCAGCAATCATCAAACAAATTGAATCCAAGGGAGTCAAATGTTTGGCAGCACCTAAATCGACCAACATGTAGTATAACATGGCCACAACATCCACTGCATGGTAGAACGAATGATAATCAGTTGTAAAGTAGCCTTTCTCAACATCGATAATAAAATCCAACATTTCTGACGCTTGTATTTGTAAACAACCGCTCAAATTCAATTTCACCAACATACCCAACACTATACCATATAACTCTGGCATTGACCAATCCCATACATTAAAGTACATTCCAGTGTCTGAAGATAATTTATCATACAAAAATTTTAACATTGTCTACAAAAAATTAAAGGGGGATGAGAAATAAAAAATTTAGTAATGCATTAATATATATAATATTAGATTGAAAATAAAAGAGATTTACACTTTCACATATTATTAAATTGTCAGAAGGTAAAGAGTTATATTTTAATAAAAGCATGTTTTAATTTTATCTAATATATTAATAATAAAAAGAGTAAAATTTCTATTTTCAAAATGTTGTAAAAAAAATTAACGTGGTTTTTTTTCTAAATAAATAATCAAAAACGATGTAATGAAATTTTTTAATTAAGTAAACAAGGATATGATACGGGGCAACACTAATTTTGGCTTTAGTGCAAACGAGGAAAAATAAAATTGATAAATCGGGGATTTATTTGTATGATTTTATTTTCCATATTTATTTATCTCCTATATAAAATAAACCATTTTGCAACAAAGAATTTTCGATATTATGAGAGAAAATAAAGTTGATACTTATTTATTGAATAAATAACTGATCATGGTAGAAATTTGATTATATCACATACATCTCTAACAATATAATTACTAGACGGATTTCATGTTAATATTAATATATGTTCATGCAAATTGTAAGCCCGAGAAAATTTTCTTAAAGATCTTTTCCCCTCATTATCATGTCTTGATAGTAATATACACTTGTTTTCCACATTCTTTTGCATTTGGTATTAACCTATTTAATGAGCCTATTTCTTACTGTTCTTTTCTATTGATTATTTTCCCGTTTGACAACTATTAAAATTAGGAATAATGATGATATCAAAAGCATAAATAAGCCACAAAGCAGAAAGTGTGTTTTTGTATTCTTGCACAAACACGACTCGTAGAATTAGCTGGGCGGGACTTTGATTATGAAGGAAATAAGGAAAGTTATCCATCTTGAAAATCGACAACTTCTGGCAAATTTGATCAATCATACAATTGCGTTAAAAGGAAATAATGATAATGATGACAAGCATTTCTATATATAGTATATATATACGTTGCCACATATCCTTGTTTACTTAATAAAAAATTCATTATATTTAGAAAAAAAACCACGTTAATATTAATATTATATCATTGAAGGAATTCCACCAACATTATTAAGAGAGATTTCTACTCCGCAATCAAGTCTAACTTGTTTAATATTAAGTGCTACAAATTCTCCAAAATGATTTTTTGATTTCATTATTGTAACTATTTTCTTTTCTTATTCTTGCCCTTGCCAAGATTTTCTAATTTCAAATAAAGTTCAGATAAGGATCCTGGTCACAAGGTCTGATCATATAATAACAAAGGTATTTAAAACTCGTACATCCTTTTTTGTATCACGATTTTTGGAGTTTTGTATAATGAATATTTTTGAGTGAAAAAGCAAAACGTACACTATTACTATTATTATATATTTTCAAAAAAATCTTAATCTGTACAACAAAGCTTTTATAACTCGCATTGAAAAATTTATTTTCGAATCTCCTTATTTTTTGTATTCATATTTTTTCTGCTTCTGCCAATTGAGCATCTGTAAGATGTGAAATCAATTGGTGTTAATTTAATAGATTTTGACAAAAATTTTAATTTACCAACATAATGAATAGCAATGACAAAAAAAGATTTACCATCATTGTGCGATTCATATTTTTGTCTTTAATTATTCATTTAACAATTTTCTTGAATCTGATATTTCATTGTTTTTTTATTAGGAGTAAGACTTTGAATGAATCAATAAAATTAGAACTGAACCGAACCGATTTGAATTATCAAATTTCTGATTCGTTTCGCTCGAATCGAACACGAATCGTGTTTTTATTCGATTCGATTCAAGCCTATAAACAATCTAATTTGATATTTATATTTAAATTTAAAACAATGAATTGCGCAACTGTGAATTGTATTAATTTTTTGTTATATATTAATATTAATATATAGAATTTCTATTCGTAATATAAATTCTTATTATTATTCGCTTTATGATTATTCGTTTTATTTATTCGAATACTCAATTTCATAACAGATAAAGCTCCGAACGAATCAATGAAATTCGATTTGAGTCGAATCAAATTCGAATTGTACTCTGATTCGATTCGATTCGATTCGAACTGATTCGAATATTAAATATATATAATTTGATTCGAACTTGTTCGATTCAATTTGATTTGAACCAGTTTTGTGACCAGAAACTCTTTGGCTTCCCGAAACGTTTCGGAAAATGAACTTACACTAAGCAGAAAACTAAAACTAAAACTAAACCTAAGCATAAACTACTAACCTAAACTGGTTTCTGTTAGTTTCTGTTTCGGGTCTTCCCTAAACTCAGAGTCTCGGGTCACAACATTGATTTGAACTGATTCAACTCAACTCGATTCGAACTAGTGATAGTGGCCAAAAATAAGCTTAGTGGACCGAAATTGCCGAAATTAATTGGCCTAAACTTTGACGAAACTAATTTTTTTAATCGGTCGCTTTACTTTATCGAAAATTATTTCGTCGAAAGTTTGTTTCATCGAATGTTCATTTCGTCGAAAATTATTTCATCCTCGAGCCAGAGACCGAACGAGTTAGATGTGAGGAGTGTGTGAAGTTAGTTAAGAAATTAGGTGAGGAAAGCGAGGTGTGTGGGAAGTGTGAGGAGAAATTTGTTTAATGAAGTTTTTTTTTGTGACGAAATAATTTTCGACGAAATGGGTGTCGACGAAATGACCGCCAACGAAATGATTGTCGACGAAATGAATTAGACCCACAATATGGTGTTGGCATAAATTAGTTCGTGAAAAGGTTTAAAAAAGTATCCCGACCACCCGTAATTTTATTATATAAACACAATAAAGTTGACAAAATGCAAATTTTAAGGCTTTACGTTTTGTTGTCTACACTTGATCGAATTTTCTCGAATTTTAACCATATACAATTCAAGATATTTTAAATGGACTTACTTAATGACGTAATCCATGGTTCAACGGAATTTTGAAGGTTTTTACTAAGCTCAAAGTTTTCATAAAAATCACGGAATTTTTTGTCTAGTTTAAAGTTTTCATCCCAAATTCATTAATAATGCAAACTCGACAAGACTTTAAGTTTATATGCAAATTAACTTTTAAAAACATGTTTACTTAATGCACCAGACCCGGTTTTGATTAATAAAATTTTAAACTACATAAGGCGTAACATTTCCGATTATTAAAATGATCATCAGGTGGTCGGATATTTGTACCCGGTCCGGAGGGAGTGTATAATAATAATTGAAACGCGAAAGAATTTCTTAAAAATGTATGTAACACAAGTCATTTGAACGATAATAATAATGATAACGATAATTATTTGATCCCCGAAATTTCTTTGTGATATGTATATATAATAATAATAATAAATAATAATAATGTTTGTTTGGTTTTGTTGCAGATAATCATAATCTATGTAATAAAATCTTTGATCAAATATTCAAGTTTAACATAGTACAATATTCGAAGAAATTTTTTTTTAAAAAAAACAAAAAAAAATTTAATTTTTTTTTCAACATTTAAATTTATAAATAAATAATGTCACCACCAGCTAGCTCAGGAAAACAAAAGGAGTCAGGACTTGCTCGTTTATTAGGTTCTGGAACTTCAGGAATATTAGAATTATTTATATTTCATCCTGTTGATACTATTGCAAAACGTTTAATGACTAATCAACAAAAAGTAAATATTTGGACTTTTTATGGGGAAAAAATTATAGAATATAATTAATTCAATTAACTAAATTGTTTGTTTATTAGGTTTTTGTACCTGGTGCACCATTATCCCAGAGTTTTAATAATTTAGGGGAAGCCATATTTAAAGTAAAAATCTCTTATTTTTCTTGGAAATTTTTTTTTTGTACAAAGAAAAATTCCCCCAATGAATAAATAATATTACTATTATAGGATAAGCATTCTGCAACTTTTTTCCGTAAATACACATCATTATTTCCAGGGCTAGGTTATGCAGGTGGATACAAAGTACTTCAAAGGATCTATAAATATGGTGGTCAACCATATGTAAAAGATTATATCAACAAAAATCATAAAGATGCATTCTATAAATTATTTGGTGAAAAAAGTGGTAAGACTATAATACATGCCACTGCTGGAAGGTAAATATGTTTGGAATGGATGATATGATGTGATTAGCAGGATGAATTTAATTTTAAAACGATTCCAAATTAATTAATTATAATGATAGTTTAATTGGCATTGGAGAAGTGGCACTTTTACCATTGGATGTATTGAAAATTAAACGTCAAACAAATCCTGATACATTAAAAAATAGAAATATTTTCAAAATTTTTTGGGATGAAGGGTTTGGACTTTATAGGTAATCACCCACTTATATAAATGACTAATTATACATGACCAAAGAAGAACTCTATAATAATAATTGATTTATAAAACACATGTGTTCAGAGGTGGTCTTTGGACAGCAGCACGTAATGCACCAGGAAGTTTTGCATTAGTAAGAAAGCTATTTCATAATGACATTATTATATCATTATTATTACAATACAAATATTAATAATTTAACAGTAACTAATTAAAAATTTATAATAATCATCATTATTAATGCTAGTTTGGTGGATCAGCTTTTGTTAAAGAATATTTGTTTGGATTAAAAGATTACTCTAAAGCAACATTTCTTCAAAATTTCTGTGCATCAATTGGTGGTGCTATAGCTTCTATCAGTGTGGCTCAACCACTTGATGTAGTTAAAACACGTATCCAAAATAGACCTTTTGATTCACCTGAAACTGGGACACAAATTATTCGCAAAATGATACTCAAAGAAGGTAGTAATTTAAAATTAAAAAGAAAAAAAATTTTTTTTTTTTGAAGGTAAAAAATAATTTTAATAATTTTATTATTATCATTATTTTAGGCACAAGTGCATTCTTTAAAGGAGTGACACCTAAATTAATTGTTGTTGGTCCTAAATTGGTTTTCTCTTTCACAATTGCACAACAATTAATTCCTATTTTAAACAATTTCTTTGTATCTAAAGGAATAGTCAAGCCAAATCCTCTATAATTATTAATTTTGTTTATGGGTTAGAATGGATTTATCAAAATTGGATGGAATTTATAAATTTGATGGATAGATTGTTAAATAATAAAAAATGTATCAATATGTTATATATTTAAGGAATCAACAGAATTTTCAATATGTAATCAATTGTTAATTTAATAATATAAAAAATAAAAGCATATAAATATTTATTTATATTTATTTTACATCAAAAAAAGTATATATCAATTCCAATAAATCCATTGGAAATCATGTGATAAATGATAAAACATTATTAATTATTTACTCCTTTAATATTATAATGAAGGAATACATTGTTGCTGACTTGCTTTGCTGACAATGACATTGGTAATTTTGGTGTTGTCTTGTAGCTAAATAATAACTATTGTTGATGCAATTTGTTTACATTTGATAGTTTTAATGTTGATGTTAATGATTGTAGGCTTGAATTTAAAGTTGAAATGATATAAAATCAAATCCAAAGCAATAAAATGTTGTTGGGATAGAAAGATGATGAATTCAAAGTAGAAGTTATAGTTTAATTAGAAACAGAAGTTGAATTTAACTTCAAATCACTTTTGTTAAAGATATTTTTGTTGTTGTTGATGTCATGATGATGATGATGATGATGATGATGATGATGATGATGATGATGATGATGATGATGCATGTAAGTATAGTTGGCGAAAAAGCTTTGTAAGCAAAAAAAAAGTGTCTCATGTAGCCAAGAAGTAAAGACAATATTTTATAAATAATTTGTTTTTGAACAATTCTGGCAACCTTTTCACCAATTTTATTAATATTTTGATGATGATAATTATAATATTTTTTATATTTTTACACTATTTGCAACCATTTTTTTAAAAGAATCATGGATTGAAATATTCATGACTGGGTTCTTTTACTGGCTGAAAATCTCAAGATTATGATTACCATTGGAATATGTCAGATACCACACCACACCAGCAGCATGTAGCTTGAAAAGTCACAAAATAATTTTTATGCGCAATGACTACCATTGCACCAATTTGGTTCAAGAAACAGTGACAAGGATATTGTGAGATAGTAAATCTTGGACCTATTACTATCAATTACCCAGTTAATATTGACCAATTAGAACGAATTTACTACGGAAGTCATGTGATGTGTTAAATATTACATCACGACCAATCTTTCTATATACTAATACGTATTACTTTACTATTACCGACAATCATTTTACTGGCAGTTCATTTATTATATAATTGTTTGGTTAAATGTAACCCCCGAGTTGTTGGTAAAATGAATGCCTCCCATTTTTACATCACACGCGAAAGATTCTGATAAGATGCTTTTTCTAAATTAAAGTATGAAATTTAAGAATGCCTTTGCACCAAAACTGTCAAAGAGATATAATTATTTTTATAATATTATAATTTCTCTAGCAAGTTTCAACTTGATAAATAATATTTCGTTTTCCCAACATAATAATTGATTACAGTAGCAATCTTTGCCTTCTTTTGAAATAATCCGGAAAAGCTCACTTCTCCCCTGCTTACTGAAACAAAAATGCACTACTAGATTTTAAACCAGGGTTTCTATTTGCACAATTTCTTATTCATATGATTTGTCTTAACTCGAACTATTGATATGTGTATAAAAATTGACATTACAAATTATTTGAATGATTTGTTATTTTGTTTGATTTAGAATAAATATTCGAATAGAAACTCCATTGCAAACATCATCATCACATGAAATGACTTTCAATTTACAACCTTTCTTTTTGACTTTCTCCTTAATGAATTAATAAGCAGCCGATTTGTTATTAAAATGATTGTTAGGCAATGATAATACTAAGACTATGTAGAAATGAAGCTTTAAAAAACCAATTTTGAAAAAAGCTTGAATTTTCGCCTTACCATCCAAGTGGTAGTGGAAAAGTTTTAGTGGTTGAACCTTTCTTTAATTGTATCTTTGGGGTTCCCTTCTGATTATGTACAATTTCAAGCTTGTAGAATTACTTCCAAAAAAAAAAAACTTTGCGAGCAGACATTCATTTCGTAAAGGATAATGATTTGACATATTGAACTTGGGTGTCAGATTACCTAGATATTTTTTCTTATCCCAATGTGGGTTACCGTTGTGCTAAAACAACTACAGTTGAATTGAATTATATCAACAGAATCAGTCATAGGGATAGCTGCTTCTGGTAATAAGCTAAATGTCGTCAATAGATCCTTCACAAACAACCCAGGCGAGAAATTCTAGACCCACCCATCAAAGTATGAAAGTGAACTCCTAAATTTTTATCGCATCAACTTAGTCTAGAGGTAAAGTTTTTCATCTTAAGAATTATCTTTAATAATCGTACGTTTGCTCAAAGGCAACAAGCATTGGTTATTAGGATGAAAATTATTGTTCTACAGTACATAAAGATTATTATTATTGCTATTTTAAGCCCACCTACTCTCTCCTTCATTACGTAATAAACTTTCAACTTTCCCACAAGTATATCGTGTAACCTTTAATAAAATACTCTTATTACTATAGAAAATCCCAAAATCGTTGTAAATTAATAATTAGAATTAATTAGAATCAGCAATAATGGTTTGTTCAAAGTGTATGTATATTAAAATTATTGTTAAATAAATTTGCAAAAAAAAACATAAAAGCATAAAAAAAATAACAATTGTTTATTTTTTGATTAGGCGAAAAGAAATTAGCAAAAGTTATTTGTCCTGATAAATGGAAAGAAGGCTCAAGAAATGTTAATGGTATGCTGATCTAATAATAATAAGGACAAGAAATTAACAAAAATATTTTTGAATCAACTTATATATAATATTATAATAATAATAACTGTAGTTGGAACGGATAGAAAATTAAATGAAAATAAATTGTTATCTAAACCAGGAAAAAATAGGTTAGTTACCAATTGGTTATTAATAGGTTGCTGGTTAGTTGTCAATTAGTTATATCTTTTTAATATGTTAATAACAACTTTAGTTGTACCCAACAGGTTTAAACCATATGAAAATAAATGTAAAGTTTGTAAGTCAAGAGTGCATCAAGAACATGCGCATTATTGTCAAGGTAAATAAAATAAATCAACAAGATCAATAATATAAAGTCGTTAGGCAATAATAATAATCAATATTCTTTAAAAAATTTTTTGTTATAGGATGTGCTTATAAACAAGGAATATGTGCAATGTGTGGTAAACAAATCCTTGATACGTCGATGTATAAACAAAGTGCTAAATAAATAAATGATTAATAGTTAAATCAATATACTCAGTTATTAGTTGATTGAAAGATTTTAGTGGCTAGGTATTATGTAATATTATTTTTATTTATTTTAAAAAAAAAACTAATTAAATATTTAATCAATGTTTATCAATATTAATTTATATAATAAATAAAAACAATAAACAAATTTATTTAATAATTTAATAAGCAGTTTAATAAACATTTAATAAGTAGATATGTAAATCAGCAAATTTTCTTTTTCCATGATAGTCACATCAACTCTTCCATCTTTGTGATAAATCCTTCTTGAACCATTTTAAGATACCTTCTTAAACTATCTTTATCCAGATTTGACGATCTTTTTATTTGCAGCAGATGTTCAATTAACTTGAATAACAAAGGAATCATAATTTTAATTCAAAGTTTAGAAAAGAAAAAGAAAAAGAAAGGGAAAAGAAAAGAGTGTGTTAACCTGCAATAATAATTGTCTTCTCTTGGTAATTTTATTTGAGGATGATTTTTCTTTATTGGCATCAATCAATTCTTTTAACTATATAATAATAAACATAATAACCAACTAATTAAAAAATGCAATAAGATTTTTTTCCTTTTCAATAAAAGAATTAAATTTACTTTATGAGAAACTTCAGTTGCCTTTTGTATAACATCATCTGGTAAACCAATTAATTGTCCAAACCTTAATCCTGTATTTTTTTTATTTAGTGGGAGAGAACAAAATTAATCAATTAATTGAATTAAAAATTAAAAATTAAAAATGGAAATGGAAATGAGAACCATAATGTTCATCATCATTCCTTCCGTCTTTGACTTTATATAAATATCTTATTCCGAATTTTTCATTGCCAATCTATCAATTTTACATATTAACAATATGTTGATTAATTATATAATAATGATATGACATCATGTTATATTATAATTATTATTTATAACGATTACCTCAATTTCTAAATGTAAATTCACTACGTTTGGATAAATGGTTAGACTTCTTGTAAGTTCATGAAAATGTGTTGCGAAGAATATGAATGCCTAAATATATATATTATTTTATTATTATTACTAAATTCATTTATAAATATATTTATTAACTAATATTAAATAAGATATTAAATAAGATATTAAATAAGATATTAAATAAGATAAGTAAGATTTAGAATCTACCTTAGTCTTTACTAATTCTTCACATACGGCATATGTTATGCCTAATCCATCATGTGTAGATGTTCCTATTAAAATATTAATTTATTAGTTTACTAAAAGTTTGCCAAACCTATAAAAACCATTGTCAATACTTGAGAAAATATTAATAGTAGGAACCTCTTCCAAGTTCGTCAATTATCACTAAACTTTCATCTGTCACATGTTGTAAAATATATGCAGTTTCTCGCATTTCTATGATAAATGTACTTGTATTACTTTCCATATTATTGTCATTGCAAATCCTTGTAAATATCTGTTTTAAAATAAGATATATAACAATATTAATTGTAGTTGTAGTTGTAGTAATAGGATAAATTTTAATCAATTAATTACTTGGTCAACAATTCTAAATGATGCATATTCTGCTGGGACTCTGCCAAAAAAAGAAAATCAATCATCAAAATTATTATCGTAAAACTTAATAAATAAAGAAAAAAACCATAAAAATGCTTACAAGGATCCAATTTGTGACATGATACTCATCAAAGCAATTTGCTTCAAATAAGTGCTTTTTCCACTCATGTTTGGCCCTGTAATTATTTGAAAATTAGTTGCGTTACTTGCAAAGGTATCATTTGGAATAAATGGATCCACAACAAATAAACATTCTCGCATAGGATGTCGACCAGATTTTATTGCCAATGTATCTGTGAATTCTGGACGAACTATTCAAATATATTCCATAGGCGATGAATATTGGCAGCATGATTTAAAAATTATATATTAATCTTGATGATAAATGTTGCATATACACATACCATAATTTGAGATGGTGCATTGATGAGCAAAAGATGTCAACATATCCAACATGGCTACAGATTCAGATGCTTTATAAAGTACACCGATTGTGCCACGAATTTCAAATATTAAATCTTCAATTATTCTAATAATAATATCAATATATTATTGAACTTATAGAAAACTAAATTCAAATACAAATAATATATATATATACGAAACTTGTCAGACATTAGATAAACTTCAGTTAAAGATTCATTAATTTTTGTATTTTTTTTAATCTAAAAATAGAATAATTTATATATTAGATCCAAAAGATAAAAAATTAATTGTCATATTACAACGATGATACCAACTTACCAATTCCAAAGTTGTAAAAGTTAACAAATTTTTTTTCTTGCTAACATTAATGAACACAAGAGGAAGTTGACGATCACCTAAATGCTCTATATTTGTTGATAAATAATATCCAGTTGATACACTGAATTGAGGTTTCAAATGGATCTCATTTTTTTCTAATTATTATAATATTATTCTTTATATCAAAAATTTATTATTATATACAAGTATATAAATATATGTAATTTGATAAATTATTGTCTACCGCTATATTTTTCAATCATTTCAAATGTATCATCAACCATTTCTTTATATGTTTGTCGTGCTATAAATATCATTTTTTTAAAAAACAATTAGAGACATTGATCAATCAATCAATCATAATTATGATTTTTATATATGTGTAGTTCAACTTACCAACATCTAACAATCCATTAAATCCTGACTATATTATATATACATAGATATATTTATAATATTTTTTATGGTTGAAAAGAAAAGGTGGTAATGAAAAGAAAAGAAATTTGCTAATCACCTTAACAGCATAACAACGTTGATTTCGAATACCAAGTGCACTTTTTTGATAAGTAACATCTTCATTTATAACTTGATGGATCTTTCCTTCTAGTATTTGTAATTCTGGATCGTTTAAGAGCTATAATTTTAATTGTATGAGTGAATATAAATGCTTTTTAAATAAAAATTAAAAAAAAGGATTATCTCATACCTGATAAATTGTGTCAAGCAAAGAATTTTTAATACCAAACATTGCATTTTTTAGCGATTTAATCAATGTCAATGTATGTTTCAGTAGAATCACATTGTTGATATTTTGTTCTGCACTTTTTACATTAGGTTTTCTTGGAATTTGAATCAACTAAACAAAAAAATTAAAAAAATTAGAAAACAAGATTTAAAAGAATTTCTAAATAAAATTTATTACCGCAGTAATCAAATGGTCAATATCCTGAAAAGGTTTGAGTGCTATAACCATCAGAATAATACAAAATATTTATTATTGGTTATTTTGTTATTAACACTAGATATAATAAATAAACCACCATAAACACCTGATTGAATTGAGAAAAATGTTTCCTATTGATTTTAGTGGAGAAAGAAAAGTCAGCTACTATTATAACACCTTAAAAATCACCTTTTTATCAATAGCAAATTTATACCTCACTACTTATAAGTTCTATAAAAATTTAGAAGAATAACTGTTAGAATAATATATTCTATGTGATATTTAATCATTTAATTTTTTACCTTCCACAGAATCTAAACGAGTATTAATTGTGACAATATCTAAATAATTAAATGATCAAATAAATATATATATTTTAATAAAAAGAAAAAGAAAAAAAAATAACAATTGACTTAATTACAGACCAGTCAAAGGTTGTAAAATGTTGGTACGAAGAAGACGACCTAATAATTAAAATTATAACCTTGATGAGAAGATTGAGAATATTAACAAACGATTAATGTGATCAATCAATCAATATATGACAAGTTACCACCCATAGGTGTCACTGTACGATTCAAGACACCTGTATATAATATAATGAATTAAATTATTCATCTATGTATGTTGCAATAATAATTATTGTTATTATTAATATTAATTAAGTACCATATAAAGAATGATTACTATTTTGATTATTCATATTATTAATTAATTCAAGATTACGCGCAGTAACAAAATCTAAATTAAATGGGATCATTAATATTGATTGATATTGACAATAGCACATGTTATTATAATTTAGCTACTCGCCAATCATCATAGTTCCTATATATGACAAGAAAAAAAGAGTATTTATTTAATAAATTAATAGATCAAATTTTGTCATGAAACATATATTTATTACCTTCACATCCTTGATATTTGAATTTTATTGAATGATTAGTGAAAAATATGTTAAGAGTATTTCCAATATATCTATAGAAATATTGGATATTAAGGTTTATGATTATTTTTTATTATATCAATTACATCAGATCATTGTGATATATTTGCCTAAGCAAGGCAGCAGTTGAGGCTAAACAATAAAATCTAAAAAATAGAAAAAATTAAATTAATATAAATTTTGAATTTTTTAATTTGGATCTATAATAATTGAATTTATTACTTTGAAGTTAATCCAAGAATCAATGATACAGAATCTTCTTCCAATCCATACTATAAATGTAAACATACTAAATAAATGATCTGCGATTTGTTTTTCAAATTTTCAAATCCATCTACCTATATACCTGTTTGATAAAATTTAATCCTACACATAGAAAAAATAAAAATAAAAATATTAAAAATCTTCTCAATAAATACGAATAAAAAAATCATTACAACATACCAACAGCATCGTTAAAATATTTTCTTGCAATTGGAACAATGATAGCCGATGGTATATTATCTTCAAGTATTTTACATAGTTTTGATTTGGAGGGTTCAACAGCTGTAACTGATAACAATATCTTTAAATAAATAAAATAAATACAAGAGGCGTGAAAATTAATCATTTTATTATAATGGATTTTTACAAAAAAAAATAATAATAATACCTCTCCAGGATTATAAATATTTAATTTGTGTAATGTTTTAACATAAGTTTGTGAATCTGCAATCTTTTAAAAAATTTACCAAACATCAATATTTATTTCATTTATGGGACCGACTGCCCACCGATTTTTACATAATCTAAAACGATGTTTCTATTTATGTCAAAAGTTTCAGTAGATTTTGGCATAATATAGAAATATCGTCAATCATGTAAAAATCGTTG